CAAATAATTAGTCTAAAAGCAAAGCTAGCAACTAGCTACTACACTAAACCCTGAAGTGAGTTTGTTTCTAGACTCCCTCTCAAGGTGAAACATACAATTCATATGCTCCAAGCTTGTTAAATACTGAGTACTTTTTTCCTAGAGCCTGGTAGAATTTACTGTCGAAATGCTGAAAAAATGACTTTTTGCTGACATGAATAGTGACAATGTGTTTGGATGTGGTCTTCTCTTGAACAAGATGACTATAAAATTTTATGTGCTTGGACTCTTTGTGGTATACATATACTGGACCGACTGCAATATGTCTAGTTGCTTGATCATTGCACATTGTGTATTGGTTCTTTTTTCTTGCTCTTCCGAGAGATTCAGTTTCCACCGAATAAATTACAATACTGAGAGATTTGGATAATCTAACCATTGGACACTTAGGCCAATCAGCATCACATCATCACACAATATTGTTATGATCTTTTTTTCATTGAGAAATCCCTGTCCAGGTGTCTTATTGACATCTATGCACATTATATACGGTTTATCAAGCAATTAGCTGAGTGCACTTATTGTAAATGAAATGTCTAGCTTTGTGATTGTGGGGTAATTCAATTTTCCAACAAGCCATTTGCATTTCTCTCTATTAGAAAGTCTCTCCTGACTTGGAATAAGTTTGACATTTGGATGAATAGGAGTATCTGTTGATCTACATATCCACCGTCCAACATACTTGTTTCCTCTAAAATATCCAAACCATATTTTCTTTGGGAGAGAATGTTGTGATTGTGAGATATCGTGATCTCAATTCCAAAAGAGTATCATAACTCTCCGTCTTTCCCAATTCCTCAGTCTGGAATTCGCTAAATATATATTTTGGGAGTTGAGCAATGCCTTCTAGATCTCTACCTATAATGACAATGTCATCAACATAAAACTAGATAGATGAATGTACAGAGAATATAGAATGGTCAGCGTTACTCCTAGTCATGCCAAGTTCTCGAACAATCAAAGTAAACTGCCCAAACCATATACATAGTGACAATCAGCCCACTAGACTATAGTCCCATGAGCAACAAAACATAGTGGTTTCTCATGGAGAAAATCGTTCTCGATATCCATGTGGAAGATAGTCCAGTGTATATGCACATTGGAAATGTGTGAAATAAATGAATAGTAAGGTGTATAGTCATGATCTTAGCCAAGGAAATAATTATATATTGGGTGAGGATTAACAAGGCAATGGGTAAAACATTAGAAGTCCAGTAGAAATATGGTGTGGACAGCCATAGTTAGCCAGTATGTTATCATGACATAAACAATGATCTTTTTAAAGTTCATCATAATTAGAACCTAGAAGTGCTCTTATCTTTTCATATGAGTAATTGATTATGTAGTTTTTGCTATTTGTCGGGTGCTTCAGAATTAGCCATTTGAATGAACAGTGAACGATCCTTTTGAAGGTATGTGAATACCTTAACTTGTCAAGGAATATGGGATTTAAAACTTGTCTCTAGTGATGAACCATTGAACCAAGCACTATATGTGCTTTAAATGCTATACAAAGGAACTCCATTGTCATTTATTATCTTGTTTTAGGTTACTCTACAGTACTACACACATGCAAATACTAGTGAAAGATAGGGTCATAGGGGGCATTTAGTGTTGATCATTTGAATTACCGTTAACCATCTATCTCACTGTTAAACAGGTTCCGCCAACAAGAGCCAAATCTCCCAAGCTTGGTCGGAAAAAGAGCTCACCTACCAGATTGAGCTTGGATGAAAGAGTGCCCCAGGATGAACCTACCAAAAGACACTCACTTGTCGGTGTGAAAACCCCTCAGCGCAAGTCCCTTCCTAAACTACCCTCTGAAAAGACCAATTTGTCCGGTGAAATAAAGAAAGCTCCAGCCCACAAAGCCTTGCCGAAGGAAAGAACTGAAACCGCCTCGCCCTCTAACAATGCTGCCAATGTAATTAGTGAAGTTGCACCCAAGGAGGAGACTCAAGAACCAGCAACAGCAGATGTTGGGAAACCAGAGGAATTGATTGAGACAAATGATGCCAAAATTGAGACAAATGATACCAAGATTGAGGTAAATAACAAGGTTGTTGTTGAGGCTCAAGCACAGTAACAAGGTGGATCATTAAGAGCAAGAACTGATTATCTTTATCACACAGAAATTATGAACCCATCATTGCCAAAAAAAGAATACCACAAGGGGATTGGCTAGGCATGAGATGTAGCTTTGATGTTAAATGTGCGCTTTCTTTCAAGATTGCTGAGTTTTTCGTTTGGAATTCGCTAGGTGGCTGTAAAACTGAAATGCTGCTACTATTATTCATAAGAAATTTTTTATTGATGTGATTCAAGATCCAAAGTGTTCATAACACATTTTTAGAATTTGGCTTGTGCTGGCTGTTGAAACTGCAATGACCAATGACAGCTGCTTGTTAATGAATGTGTGTGTATATTTTGTTTAATGGTTCTCTTGTTTCTTGTTGTTTAAGGTTATCCCTTTATCTCATTTGTTGCTCACATTGGAAGAACCATTTATGTCTAAAACTACATTGTTGGAACAATAAAAAATAATTTTATTATTGTGATTGCACTTAGAAAAATGAAACATTCTAAGTTGCCTACGTACCCCAATGAAAGGGATCAAGCCACACGTAGTTCAAAACATGGTTGGTTAAATTAACAGGATAAATTTTCAAAGCGCGTGATCCTTGGAAACGTTTTCCTAAAAGTTTCTTATCTACCCTATTATAAGCAACAAGGGTTACAAGATAGAATTTTTGGGATACAATGAAGAAGACCAAATTGTTCAGTTGCTCTACGAAACAATTTGCTAATGTACTTTAACGAGACTTGTCTCGAGACAAAGGAGACGAAAAAAAACATAGAAAAATACACTAATTAATATTTCATCATCATAGAATAAACATAAGAAATAAATACGGAGTACATTATTTCTTCATTATTCTAAATAATCAATGAAATAATAATTAATTATAAATCATTTTTCTAACATAATTTTTCCCTCTCTTTTTGCATTGAGACATGGGCCCTATTTATAGAAAATAATGTCCCTTTATAAATGATCATGTCTCTTATGTAAGAGACACACCCATTTAATTAAAAACTTCCAATTTAAATTCAAAATAAATATTCAAGAGTTATGTCATTTAAGAATAAACATGTCTCTTCAAAGAGTTGTGCCCATTTATTTAAAATTCAATTTTGAATTCAAAATAAATCTCCAACAATCCTCCTCCATTTATTTCGAATTCAAAATACATAAATATGCCCACAAGACAAAATTCAAAAATTCATGCATAATGAAAGTGTAACGCATATTGAACTTCCACTTAGTGTCATACATTTTACAATATTTTGGATTATAATAGTAGACTAAGCTTTGAACTATGTAACCACTTTACAATATATATATTGAAGATATTACACGCACAAGTTAAAGTACAATTATAACTTGACACTTTCTGTTCAGGCCATGTGTCCATATCCATTCGTGAACATAACCAAGTCAAGCCCCTAACTTGGTGAAGCGGCCACACTTCATGTTCATATAGGTAGATCTTTTAATCGTGTTCTGCAATTGCAACACTTTTTCAAAAGATCTATTAAGATATGCACCCTTCTTTTCCATTGCAGTATCAAACACTACCCCGGGATAATATTTATCATTTAGTGTTTACAAATTACTACGTGAACTACTTGTCAACATTGAACTCAAGATCGAGCATTGTACTAGACGTTGAGTTGCACTTTCGTTCACATGTAATTAAGTATGGGCTTAATCACATCCCTCATTTATTTTGTATATCTAACTCTAATCATTTCTTCATTATGATCCAGCGATAATAATCTCTTATTTCTTCATCATATGCAGAAGAAATTTATTTCTTGAAACGCGCGATAAAATGCAAGAAATTCACCAAGCTTGGATATATTTAAACCATACAAAATATATCATTTAATCAATTGTAAAGCCAAACAAAAATACCTCCTCCATGAGGACTACCTAACCACTTTGGTTAATACATTGTACGAAATTTGGCTTTTTATACAATAAAGTTACATCTTTCATGGTAATATCCTTCACCAATGGATGTATAGGCAACTTTATTTTTTTCATAAAGAGAAATACTTTCTCTCAAACAAAAAGAATTTGATTTTTATCATCCTTAAACAAAGGATAAAACAAATTTCTTTCTAACCGTAATCTTCTCCTTCACTATCACATGCCGATAAGATATCATTCTTATACTCAAGTATAAGAAGATATTGAATTATTAGTATAATCCAAAAAATAACCAACCGTAACCTTTTGGTAGAATAAGAAACTTTTAGATTGTTGGAACAATAAAAAATAATTTTATTATTGTGATTGCACTTAGAAAAATGAAACATTCTAAGTTGCCTACGTACCCCAATGAAAGGGATCAAGCCACACGTAGTTCAAAACATGGTTGATTAAATTAACCGGATAAACCTTCAAGGCGCGTGATCCTTGGAAACGCTTTCCTAAAAGTTTTTTATCTACCCTATTATAAGCAACAAGGGTTACAAGATAGAACTTTTGGGATACAATGAAGAAGACCAAATTGTTCGGTTGCTCTACGAAACAATTTGCTAATGTACTTTAACGAGACTTGTCTCGAGACAAAGGAGACGAAAAAAACATAGAAAAATACACTAATTAATATTTCATCATCATAGAATAAACATAAGAAATAAATACATTATTTCTTCATTATTCTAAATAATCAATGAAATAATAATTAATAATAAATCATTTTTCTAACATAATTTTTCCCTCTCTTTTTGTATTGTGACATGGGCCCTATTTATAGAAAATAATATGCCCCTTTATAAATGATCATGTCTCTTTTGTAAGAGACACACCCATTTAATTAAAAACTTCCAATTTAATTCAAAATAAATATTCAAGAGTTATGTCATTTAAGAATAAACATGTCTCTTCAAAGAGTTGTGCCTATTTATTTAAAATTCAATTTTGAATTCAAAATAAATCTCCAACATACATTACTATTGCATTTAGAGGATGACTAATTAGTAGTAGTTACATTTCCATTGCATGTATCATCAACAACACTATAATTTATTTGATCAATGCAAATGAGAGACAAATCAAGTAGTGAGGATTGGTGGGAGATAAGTAGATCTGGTTCCAAGAACACGAGCTTTGGTGTCTGGGAAGTTTTCAAAACCCGGGCGCGCTCCAACCTTCCCGTCTTCTGATATTTGTATAGGGTATGTGAGAAGATGGCCCGGAATGTCTTCAAGAAGTGGCTCGACATCGCTCACATAGAACCTCCAGTTCTCCTCGGCTATAGCGTTTACTCTCTGGATGCATTTTGGGTGCTCTGGGTGTGAAAATAGGTCCTCTACACGGCCTGTGTGCTCGCCCCATAAGGCCATTCTAAAGTCGAATATCTTTCCCCTCGCGGGTTGGTTGTCGTGTGTTAGGTGCATTGATTGATACCCGCCCATCGCGATCTCTGAGTCCCTAGACCCGTCCATTGAACGCTGGTTAATGTTGGCTGATCCAATTATGATGTAGTCGTCGTCGACTGATACACAACCAAATTAGAGAGCATTAAGTGCCCGTTCGGCAACAACATTGATATTTAGTTTTATCTTTTATGAAAAAAATTATCTAATTCTATACTCCGTCCGTCTTAAAATAATTTTTCCAATTTAATTTATGAGGTTTGACAGAAATTATTTTCAATTCAATTTATTTAATTATAAGTGTAAAAATTAAAAAATAAAAAGATGTATAGTTTTGAACTACATCAATAGTTCAATAAATCAAAAGGTGACATGACTATATTATTTTATCCAATAACTAACGAAAATAAGTAAATAAAGTGATTAAAGTTTGACCATATGATTGGTGACTGAAAAGATCATTTTAGGACGAAAGAAATAATTTAATTTTAATGTTTTAAAAAGTAATTTTGCATTATTAAAAACTACGGAGTAATTTAAAACACTAAATGAAAAAGTTATCTCTCTTGTAGAGAGGACAATGGGCAATTGTTAGAAGGACCGGGTAAGAAATTAACCAAGATATTTGATGGATGAAAATCACAAATGATTTATATGGACGGTAATTATCTATGTTTAGGTGACTATCATATCCTATATATCATATATATATATATATATATATATATATATATATATATATATATATATATATATATATGTAAAAGAGAGTTCAATTGTTGTAGTGTTGACATGTGGCATGCCACATGTGCATCCACATGTGCACTCACTAATGATGGGGATTTATGCATTTTAATTCATTGGTCCATTTTGAATTTTTAAAAAGATCTTTGAATACATTTGCATAAAACTTTTTCATTTTTTAATAATTCTATAAATATATATTTCATCATTGTAAAATATACTCCATATTATATATATATATATATAAACGATTTGTTTCAAAAAATTTATCTTATTACATTATTTATTTTATTAATGCATATCATATTATTATTAAAACATTAAAATAAATAAAATTAAATTTTAATTCATATTATGTTCATATATGAATTGAACTTTTAACAAACACCCAAAATGTTAACTTAAAATATCTATGTTAACATATAGATATATTTTATAGAGAAATATGCGAGCCCGTGCGAAGCACGGAGTAAAAACTAGTGCAATTGTAAGGGGCACTCGCGGTAAATTTCTAGCATTTTTGTTGTCAAAATGTAAAAGAGGCTTCACCTATCATCATTTTGGAGTGGACATAGATCATGAAGCGCCTGGACTGCTGAGCTCTGGCGTAGTTAGTGCCGGAATCCGGCTTTTCCGGCGGCGTATACTCATCGGATTCTCTGACTTCGCGATTCCCGAGGCAAAAGAACGTCAAATACTCTCTCGGATCTGCAGAAACGTCGTGGGCCTTCAAAGCCTCGGCGATGTCCGTATACATCATCTCCATCGTCCTCCTCTGCCAATCCAGAATCGCCTGCACCGATTCGCTCTCCGGCTCGCCCTCCGGCCACATCGGAATCACGACGTACGCCGTGAACCTCTCCTTCGCCGCGATTTTGCTCGCGATCTTCAACGAGATCTCCTTCGGGACCAGATGTAGGGCGCCGGCGGCGATGTCCCCGTCTCTCCCCCATCCGTACGAGCTCCCCACGAAATACTGGTTTTCAATGTAGATGAAGTTCTTCGCGCGGCGGATGGCGTTTATGTACGCGTCCTGAATGCTCCGATCCGTTATGTTGCTTTTTCCGGTCACCAGCCCGCACTCTCTCGCCACTCTCGGATCTTCCGGGAAATCCGCCGCGTCGTTCCCGTCTATTGATCGGAAGATCTGCACGCTCCATCTCTCCGGATCGTTCGGATTTGCAGGGATGCTCGACGGCGGAACAGTGAACCTCCGGAGCTCCTCGAGGGAGAATATGGCTGTCTCATCCTTCCGATCGGCTCTATTTCTCATCCCTGAAACGTCCTTCTGGGCTCGATTCCCAAATCCTTTGTAAAATTTTGAGAATTTTGAAATATTCATGTTGCCAGATCCACGTCCAGTTTGAGAACCAGTCCCTGTTGTTCTTGATTGCCAAGCATTCTTCTCCGCCTTCTTCCATCTCTGCTCGAAATTGTAGAGCACGTCCCAAGCAGCTTCCCCTTCCAGTCTGCAATGGAAGTCGTGCCAGGGCTCCCTCGGACCTCCTTTCCGGTAAGACGCGCCGGCGAAGTTTGGCTGGTGGAAGTCGTCTTTGTCTAACTTCCTGAACAGAGAATGCTCCTGGGTGTCGTACCGGCCGTCACAGAGATCAATCCCGCCCAGAAAACTCACGATTCCTCTCTTCTGCTCCTTCTTCTCCGCTGGAGAAAGATTCATGGATTAATAAGATGATTGATAAATTAATCTTTTACCCAAATCTCTTAGGACATTGTTTATTCTTACCTCCGTCGTCCTGAAGCAGCCCATAGTCGGCGACCACCGTCTTCTGGTGGTGGGTGAACAGAGTCGTCCTCGCAGAAGCCTGAACCCCTTGGGCGACGGCGCTGCTGAAATTCCGGGGACAGAGAAGACACCGCACGCCTGAGCCTCTGAAGAAACTGGCAGTCTCCTGGTCGTGGGTTGCCATCACTCCCTGCTTCTTGAAAAACTCGTCGGAGGTTCTGTCATCCCAAACCAGAAGAAGAACCCTCACGCCTTCTCCTGCTTTCCTCTTCAGCAAATCGCCGAGAATCATGTCCCCGTCAGCTTTATGTCTCGCCGGATCTCTGACCAGCCTGATTTTGACATAAATTGACCAGCCCGCAATGTAAATCAAGTGTTTAGCGTTCCAAATAGCCTCGAAAATGTCCTCCCAACACCTTCCCGGCGGCAACTTTCCTCCAATCTTCTCATGGGAGAGGCTATGGGCATCGGCATAAAGTGTGACCCGACAATTCTCTCTCTGACCAAAATACGTATCAGGGACGCCATTGAAGCCGGGCTTCGAGATCCCTTTGGACCACTGCTCATCATCCTCCACGCTCAAGAACTTCAAACGGACATGGATTCTGGAATTCCCACGGACCGGATTTCCATCTCTGTCGAGAATTGGCAGCCATCTGTCCACCGCCGCCCCTTTCCTCGCCGGCGCCGTCAGTTCTGCCGCCGGTAGACGGGCGCGCCCGACGAGCGTGGCGTCAACTGGGTCGTCGTACTTGACGGTGAAGATGACATGGGAGACTTTGTGGGCGCAATAGATGCGGAAATCTTGGTTCCATGTGGGATTCGAAGGCTTCTTTTTTGGTGCTCTGTTTTGTTGTTTATGAAGTGCCGCTGAAGAAAAACATGGCTTAGAAGTTCTTGTGAGTTGGGTTCGCCCCACTCTGGCCTTGTCCAGATCAATAGTTGCATAGAGTTTATCACTCCCAATCTGATATCAATACAATTTAAAAAATGTCACATATAGGGGTGGGCACGAAAACCGTTCCCGTTGACCCGTTCCGAAACGTGCCGGAACCGTTTTGAAATTGTACCTTTTTTTTATTCAAATTTTTTTGCCCCGAACCCGTTTTGTCCCGATTTTAAGTGAGACATTACCAGAATAACATATAAGTGTACCGTTCCATCCCGTTTGTCCCGTTTTATATACTCTTCTAAAAATATTATATATATATATATATATATATATATATATATATATATATATATATATATATATATATATATATATATATATATATATATATATATATATTACTCCGTACGTACCTCGTGAAACATTTTGAGTATTTAACAACAAATACTTGTTGACATTGTTGTAGCATTTATTTTCAATCTTTTTTTTTTCAATTTTCATTATTGTCCTAAAATTAGGAAAAAGTAGGGCAATCCGAATCCGTTCCGTTTTGTCCCGGTCCCGAAAATTATGGGATAAAGTGGGATAGGCTTATGGTTTGAATCGTTCCGAACCGTTTGAATATAACGGGACAAGACGCGGGATTGTAAGAAAACCGAACCGTCCCGACCCGTGCCCACCCCTAGTCACATATGGTGTCTTCCAAGTTCCAACACCTTTCCCGCGGGGACAAATAAAAAAAGGTTAATGTAAAGATCTATGGGGGACAGAAAGAGTAATACTCATAGATAAAAATAGCATTTTGTATGAAAGAAACCTGAGGGAAACCGACACAACAACGAGTAGGGCAGATTCCACTTGGTATTCTATCCACCTCATATATGGTTGCAAACAACGTCCCATGTAGCAGTTGCGCCTCCATAGCAACAGCTAAGAACGAATAACCAAGACCTATTTTAAGTAAGAAATAATCAAAAGAGTTTAGTGATAAAGTTTTGAAAAGATTATCTAACAACAGCATTTAACATTAATATTTCAAAGTTAATCTAGACCATTAAAGTTTTTTCTAAATTGATAACGTTAATTAAAAATACTGCTCAAAACAAGGCCTGTGTGCAAAAACACATTACAGAGTACCCTAAGTGATTTTTTATGGTCAATAATACAGAACTTTGAGTATTAGAATATACATTTATACTTTCCAAAACCTAATTTTAAATTTTAAATATATCAAAGAGTCAAAATGGTGATTTCCAAAAACAAGGCCAAATTGGTGGATTTCTAAAATTATAAGGCTCTATAAAGGTGAAGAGCACATCCTAAATTGAGATTATATGAACTAACCTATACCGTAAGATTAGTATACTACTCTATAATACTCCCTTGATAAATTTATATTACGGCTAATTTATTAATTTAATTAAATGCGTTAAATTGTGCTTTTCAAAAAGGAATTAAAAGCAAACTTTGAAATGTTGATGGAGGCTGGATACGAGGTGGTTGAAGATTTGTGTACAGATATATTTATATCCGGAGTATTATAATTTGGTACAAATAAGAATACTTGGGTGGCAAGAAAGAATGATGTTTTACTTTGAGTGTTCAAATGTATGATTACACTGCCAAGAAATTGTATCCCTTCATCTTGCAATTTATTCCCTCCCAAAATCAATTTTTTTTTAGTTCTCAAGTAATTGTCCGATGTAACCCAAAACATTCTAAGAATGGAACAATTCCTTATTCTTTGTTACACCAAGTTATTCATTCAAAAAACTCCTGCAATTTAAAAAAAAAATGACCTTGTAAATAGAGTAAAAACATGAACAAGACCCGACCTATATATAAAATGCAACTTAATTTCAGAAAAAAAAAATATTATTAAAAGAACCATAAACACATCTAAGGTAAATACGAGCACATTTGATTAAAGGTTGTAAGTAAACAGAAGCAAAACAAATAAAACAAATTATCACCCAGAAACACATCTAAACAGCAAATGAAATCCGGTCCATGCTACAAAAACAAAACAAGAAACAATAATTCAATATGTAAACAAACAAAAATGGGTTTCCAGTTGGCCAACTTCATAGCTCCATTTTCACTCTCAAATGTTTTGCTTTCTTCCTACCTGGCATCATTTAGTCATAATAAACATAAGAAAACAGAAACTAGAAAGACCAGAAATGGTGTTTTTGAATTGGTCTAGTTAGAAACATAGAAAAAAGAAACTAGAAGCATTACCAGTCGGAGAAAGGGTTGGGCTGCAACAATTACCTACTGCCACGGCCACCCCTTCTGCCACGGCCGCCACCTCTGCCACCACGGCCGCCACCTCTTCCACCACCACTGTCTCCTCTTGGCTTAGCTTCTTCAACTTGCAAGGTGTTGCTTCCAAGTTTGGAGTCATTGAGTTTAAGTGCTTTGTTCACTGCGTCACTCCGTGCAAACTCAATGTATGCCATCCTGCGCAGCAGAAGTGTTAGGTATCAAACTCAGGTTCAAATCAGGATATAAATGGGCAATCGGAATTCATATAATATGAAATTGACTACAAAAAAAAATAGTGAATTAATAAAGTACACAAGAATAAATCGTCATTTGTGGCTATCTTTTAATTTTTGTTCATTTACCAAAATTTAACGAATTAAAATTGGGTTGGAAACATTAAAGAAAAGAACAATAAAGATTGTGAAGAGTGACTTGTTTTTTTTTTCAAACATGAATTGCATTTTTTGCACAAAAATACGTTAAGCAAGACTAATTTTACTGGACACAAGGAGTATACGAGCTTGTTTGAGAATAGCTTTAAAGACTAATGTTAGCATTTTGGATAAAATTTCAACGGTGCAGAATAACATCAAAAACGCTAATACTAAACGCTGCCCGTAGATAATCTTTTCAAAATGCTAACACTTATCTGTAATGCTATTACCAAACAGGCCCTACATAAAGCATAGCTCACTGCACCAAACATACCCTTTAAGAGAGCCATGTTGAGTTGGAAGTCTTGTGTCTTTGATTTCTCCGCAAGAGCCAAAATGTTTCTCGAGAGCACTTCTAACCTGCCAGGCACAGATAAAAGAGAAACAATCAGACGCCAATGAAACAAGAAATGAAAAGGAAAGAACATGAGCAATACGCACCTCTTCTTCTGAATCATTCTTGTCAAACCCTCTAACATATATAGTTGTACCTCCACTTGTACCCTGCTTAACCTGCTTTTGAGCGTTATTTTGTTTTCTACAGTAAAGAAATTGCCAAATGAGATTACAACAAACTCCGTAAAATACCACAAAAGAAGGGTCTGGGGAACAACAAAACCAAGTTAAATCTCCAAGCAAGAAAAGTATTGCATACCCACTATCAGGAGTTGAAGCGGTTTTCTCTACTGCAAGGTCAATTCTGAGTGAACGGCCACCCAAATCTTTACCCGCAAGTTCAAGAGCCTTTTATACAGAAACATAAAAAACAATCATGATAGGCAGTAACAAGAGAAACAAAGCGCAATAGCAAATACTACTCAGAGAAAACAATAAAAACAGAACAATAATAACAGTGTATTTTCAAAAGAAATATTTCATCTAAAATAGTAAAATGTGTATATCTGAATGGGGAAAAAAATAATAAAAAACTGTTTACCTTGACAGCAGCCTCAGAAGTGGTAAAGTCAACATGCCCAAAGCCCTTGAGCTTACCATTAGGTAGTTTACTTAAACGAACTTCCTTAACCACTCCAATGCCCTTGAAGAAAGTTTTGCTGCAAGTATTGCAGTGGAAATAGTTTTACATAAAGAAAAGTGCTTACATATAACAATATGCTTGGTGAATTCAAGGCAGAAAATAGAAACATACATATCATCCTCCCCAATCGACCATGCCAGATTCCCGATAAAGACAGTCTTTGATCCTTGTGCACCAGCCTTAGGTGTGGCTGGGGTCTGAGGCTACATTTTGAAAAGCCAATAAAGAAGAGAAAACATGAGGCAATTTACAATTTAAAAACAAATGAAACATACTAAATATCACTAGCAAATTTTGTTTTAAGAACAAAAAAAAGCAGTAAAGCTTTAATAATTCACTTCATACTACTCCCTCAGTTCAAAATTATTAAACCAAGTATTAGATTAAACTCTTCAAAAAGTAATTGTCCACTAGAACCAAAACAATTACTAAGATGAGTCAATTATGTAATACAGAGTAACAGTTAGTGAAGATGAGAGAAAAAAATATTAACCACAACACAATCTGTTCCTAATGTAAACACTAGAATGTATTTTATGTTATGCCAAAATAGAAACGTAAAAATATAATTTGTGGTCCTGGGCCATCTCTATTCTCGGCTTGGTTTTCCTGGCAAGTGTTTAGAAGAGAATTCAGGATACAGGGGGTATAAGTTAGCAAGCATCTGACAGAAGCCAGAGAACACAACTCACTGCAATAATGAATGAAGCAACCAATGCATATATAGCACATACCTTGATATATGTACTCTTTGGCTCCTCATCTTCACTTCCAGACCCATCGTCTTCACTTCCAGAATCATCATCTTCACTGTCATCATCAGTTCCCTTTGAAGCAAAATAAAACCCAAAAGATAACAATTAGCAGCTCTGAGAGCAAAACAAAAATGCATGCTTGAGACTATAGAAATGAGGATGTTTGAAAAGTAGTACCATTTCATTTTCAGCTGCGGAGGTTGTGCTTTTTCCAGCTTTTGCTGCAACCTAAAAATAAAATTACTCACAATATGAAAAATTATATGAAGCATTAAATTAATTTCTACAAAACAAATGCGTGCAAAAAAGTGAGGCAATAACAACATACATCTTCATCAGAACTAGCTTCTACATCTTCCTCAGAGCTTTCTTCCTCAGAGTTGCTTTCCTCGGGGCCATTTTTGGCTTGTTCTGAAGTCACGGGTGCCTGAGGAGCAGCAGTCTTCTCAACTGTTTCATCTTCCTGCGGACTGCCCTCTTCAGAAATAGATTCAATTTTTTCGTCATTTGCTACCTCATTTTTAGCTGAGATGGAAGGTGCCACTTTTGCCTCACCCTGAAAATTAACCCACTCAGTTGGGAAAAAAATATGGAAGTATTACAAAAGTTGCTTAACATAACCATGCTCATTTGAAGTGGCAATCTATTCTACCAAGCTGATACTAAGCATAATGAGCACTTACATCTGCATCGGGTATTTCTTCATCCTTGTCTTCATCTTCACTACCATCTTCAGAACCAGAGCCTTCTTCTGAACTGTTTGACTGTTGCTCCTTGTTTGCAAGCTGAGATTCTTTCTGATCAGGTACAATTTTATCAGCAGGTTCCTGTAAAATAAAAATAGTATCGTTAGACAAAACGTTGTACAAGCATTAGTTAACATTGTTTCCACAAAAAAGTATATCAACAAATACACCATCAACTAGTTGTAGGCCCCGTTTGGCATCAACATTATGCACTATAGTTTTAAAAAAGGATATGAAAGTAGCTTTTAGTGTTAGCTTTTTTTAAAATTAATCTACACCATTAAAATTTTATCCAAAACGCTAATCGAAAATGCTATTCCCAAACAAGACAGTAATATATAACATTAAACTTGAGCAGAGTATCACTTAAAACCCACAAAAAAACCATAACATATATCATTAGTCTAATTACTCCAGCTGCCTCAAATAAATTAATGCATCATAAACTGGTTTATTGACCTTCACTTCCTCTTCAGACCCAGGAGATTCTTGCGCAGAACAGATGTCCATATTATTCTGTGTCTTTTCCTCTACCTTCTTCTCCTCAGCTTGCTCCAATACTAAATCTTTCTTCTGCTTTTTTGCATTGGGCTTCTCAAGCTTAACTTGAGCATCTCTCTTACCTAAAATTGTAAAAACACCAATCCCTCAAAATATGAAGAAAAAAACAATCCAAATCCCAGTAGTTATAATTCAAACACTGGGTAAAATCAATTTCATCATAAAATATACAGAAACATAGATATAATAAAAAACAGAACCTCTCGTCATCGGCTTACTTGGAGGAGCTTTTGCAGGAGCGGAAGCAACCTAGAACATATTCAAGATCAAGAATTTAAAATCTTAACAATCATATAAAATTACAGCAAAAGTGAAACACAACTGCGTTTGATTCTTTTTTTTTTGGGCGATTAAATCTTACTTTAGTGTTTGTTTTCTTGGTTACTCTGCCCATTCTGATGGAAGAAAACCCGCCGAAGATTATTGAAGCTGCGGTGTAGGCTGCAAAACCCTGAAGAGAAATTAGGGTTGAAGGACTGAGAATTGCCCTTAGAGAGAGGTTTTATATGCACGCTATATTTCTCCCGGGCGCCCAATTTTTTAGGGTTTCCAATTAGATACGAGTATTTTGAAGGGTGTGTTCGATAATATTCTACTGAGTAAATTTGAAAATTATTTTTTAAGACAATAAATTTGTCGGTATAGAATTTTTTTAGGGTCCGTTTGATATACGTAATTGATGGAATTGGAATTGAATTGGATTGAAATTTCATAGGATTCAATTCCGTAGAATTGAATTTCACCAATTCCAATTCATTTTTTGCACTATCAATTCCAAATCCACATAATTGAATTCCACATAATTTTTGTAAATAAATGAATTGAATTCCGTGTATCAAACGAGGCCTTAGTAAGTTTTGGGTGTAGAATTAACCTATTTTAATCCATACGAGAAATGCTAGAGTCACAAACATAAATATTATAAAATACACAATTTTATTAATTATGTATCCCACAAAATGACAAAGTTAGAAGTTAGAAATTTAAATATTCAAATATGTAATACTCCATCCGTCCCTAAATATATGTCACACTCGTATTCTTGGGGAAAAATATATGGTTTTTTCAATTCATTTATTTACATAGTAGTATAGAAATAAAAAATAAATTTTACATAACAAAAAACTACGTGAATAGATCTTCAAAATAAGAGGTGTTAAGAATATTTTATTTTATCGAATAAGCAATGAAAACGAAGAAATAAACAAAAATTCTCGCCACTGCTGAAAAAGTAAGTGTGGCAAATATTTTGAGACAAAGAGAGTACTTAGTTTGTGTGTTTTCATGATTCTCGCCATACATTCAATTTTGGATTTCTATGCAAACATCAACCTATTATACTCCGTAAATATAGTACCAGTAGCGGGGTCTAAGGGGCGGCAGCCCCTGGCCGGGTCCAAGGGGCAGAACCCCTGGTCGGGGTCGAATTTTTTTTATTTCGGACATTGTTTCTTTAAGAAAATCCTTAAGATTTTCATGACCGGAGTCCAAAACGGTAAAAGACTCGAACAAGTGGATAACGTCGAAATAGACCCTAAAACCGCAGAAGACCTTTCGTTCAAACTCACGCCTTTCTTCTTCCCTGTGCGAACGTACGCGTACGTTTCCACGAACGTTCATGTCCGATCATGAAAATTTTCGACTCTAAAATAGAGTCTCGTGGTATGGATTGAGAGATGTGATTTCGAGTGCTTGTTGTTGATTAACGTCTTATCTAATTAAAGTATTTCGTATACCCTGAAATAACTTTGATTTGAAAGTGTTTCGTACGCGATTCGTTATACCATAGAGTTCTTCTTTAACACTGCTTCGCAGTGTTCTTCCTTAAGCAATTCTAACAGTTTTTAGATTACTTATTTATTTATGGATTTTTTATTATATATGGAGATATGAAAATTATATTTATTAAGATTATCACCATTTGATGATTATGGCCGCATACGGCATACCTGAAAGAATAACAGAAATAAAAGGAACCGAAACAAAGAATTTTAATTAAGATTTTAAAACATTGACCATGATTAATAATAGAAAATGATAATATTGTACATAAAATTTATCTTGTAAATTAATTTTAAGGATAATGCTCATTGAATCAATATACATGTAATTATAAGTCCAAAATTCTTTTCAAATACCAAGATCCTTCTAGCCAGTACACAAAACAATGAAAATAAAATAATGACCCACATCTTAATAAAATAATAACTTTGTCTCAAATTAAATTGCATATTTATTATTCACATAGTCAAATTTAATTCACTTTCTTTCTCTATTTTTATTAGTTATTCGATAAAAATATATAGTGATGTCAATTTTAATTTTGTAGATCTTTTGATAAAATATTTTAACACGTAATTTTTATTTTTAATATTACACTATTTTTCAAATAAAATAATTTAAAAATAATTTAAATTCAACATCGTACATCGAGACACACAATATAAATTGGGACGAAGGGAGAGTAAGAATTTGACAAATTTGTCCTTATGTTTTACATGCCATTTTTCTCTTTTTACACTTTTAAGAAGAAATTTGTAGACAAATTTGGAGTGGATTTAACAGCATCGTGCCAAGTCAAGCAATTAAACACCTCAATTAGAGAGACTGAATTCAAAACTAAACTAAGACAGTCAAACCAAAGATGATGTAAATGTTTCTATATACTTATGTTTATAAGTTGTTTTTAACTTATAAGTCAATCAATGATACATTTTCAAACCTATTTTTTCATTTCTATGTTTTGACCAATTTACTTAAAAAACTACTCATTTTTGTCAACACAAAAGAATTTTTAAACTGAAAAACAACTTACTTCCTCCGTCCCGCATTAAATTACCTGTTTTGACTTTTGAGTATATTTAAGAAAGAAAAAAAATAGAGTAAATTCCATAATTGGTCCTTTATAACATGAGGATTTCCATATATAGTCCTTTATTATCAAATATTACTCCCGTAGTCCTTTTTTTAAGGGTACCTTTTCACAAATGGTCCTTTTTTTGATTTTCTGCCGTGTTGGTGTTAATTTAAAGGCTAAAAGTATAATTTGACATCAATATTATCTCTAGTGACGTGTTCTGATATTGGTTAAGCGGATAACACAAAAATAATGACTATGATTGTGACTAAAATTCTGATGAAAGATCACATTTGTAGACTATCGTTGTCGTAAAAAGCGATTGTAATTCACAAAAGACGCAAACAGAACAGCCTTTAGAATTGTGTATGACAAAAAAGATATATTATCACTGTGAAATTACACTTTTAGTCCTCAAATTAACACCAACATGATAGAAGATCAAAAAAAAGACTATTTGTGAAAATATACCTATAAAAGAAGGACTATTGGGATAATATTTGATAATAGTGGACAAAATAGGAAAACCTCCTGTTTTAAAGGACCAATTATAGAATTTACTCGAAAAAATACAATTGATTTTACAAAACTGCCATTATTTTTTGGGAGTGACGATGAATGAGAAGATAAGGTGGAGAAAAGTAACTTATTTTAAGAGTAACTTATATGACAAATGGTATAGAATTAAAAAATGAAAATTACATATCAAAATACTACATCAAAAGATCTACAAAACTAGTAATGACAATAATACTTTATTTTTTTAAATTGTTAACGAAAATAGAGAAAGAAAGTGAATAAATTTGACCATGTGAATAGTGAACAGACATTATACTTTGGGACAGGAGTAATAGACAACTTATTTTGGGACAGAAAAAAAGATAAACAGGCAATTAAAAATAAAAATAGGACAGAGTGAGTATAAATTAAAAACTACTTTTAAAAAATACTACCGTAGTAAATCAATAAGCAACCAACACAAGGAAACACCCACTATATAGCCTAAACCTGGCTGGAAAAACGAACAAATCAAACGTAGAAAAACATAAGGAACAAGTGGATAATCACTAGTTATACATATTCGTTCATCACTAAGACCCTCAAAATGGCATCTCAATTTGCATTAAACAAACAGTACAAACAAAAACAAGTTTCAAAATCAAAGATCTCATAAAGGAAATGAACTAGCAAAACATAACCTAAAATCTACGGGAATTCGAAACAACCGATACATCTTAATAAATGGTCCAAAAACATTTGACAGCAATTCGGAAAATAAGCCTGCCAGCACAAGCAACTCACATGGTCTCGTCATCTACAGCATATACCATTCAGGTACGCGTGCTTTGTTTTAAGACGGCACTGAAAAAACACCCAGTTCGGAATGAAAATTAGCACCCACAAAACAAACGACCTAACGAAGAAATAGTGCTTTGTTTTAAGACAGCACTGAACAAATAAATCGTTGCATGTTTAAAGGGGGCGGGCAATACAAACCAAAAAAAAAAAAAGTTGGCATGAGTAAAGGTGGGAGGGACATACTATATGTAGAGGTGTCAATCTGCTCAGGAAGCTCTTTGATATCAACTTCGAACCTTTCTTGGACCTAGAATCAGTATGCAGCAGCAATGTATTTAGTATGATCAAATATATGAGAAGATGGAGTTGGTAGAAACCAGACCACATACCTGATTGAGAACATCTGAATCGGCTGATGATGAAACAAAAGTGATAGCAAGACCTTTTGTGCCAAATCGCCCAGCTCTACCCACCTATGGTTTTCATGAATAATGGGCATAAAAAATTTACAAATATACAATACAATTTTGGTGTAAATAGTCTTTTAAGGATGTGTCATTATCTACCCTGTGAAGATAAGTATCAGCAGAATCCGGCATGTCATAGTTAATGACAATGTTCACTCGTTCGATATCAATACCCCTCCCAACCAAATCCGTAGCCACGAGAATTCGCTTGTGACCTTCCTTGAAAAGCTTGTAACGTGTTAATCTGAGAAAAAAGCAACTCATTATGTTGAGAAAAACAGTTCTCATAATAAAAAATGCATGAAACTAAATATGAAGAAAACTTATACTCTGTATGTTATGACGGATGAGTTCTGGTGGAATATAAAACTAAAAAAAATTGCTTGAATATAATGCATATGAAATTCAAGACATTAATTATACCAACCTATCTTCCTGGGACATGCCAGAGTGGATGCAGATAGATGGAAAGTTACACTCAACAAGTAACTTGTTTAGCTCCGCAGACCGATTAACACTTTTAACAAAGATAACAACTTGATTGAAGTCCAGCGCGTCCAGCAGGTCATTCAGTTTTCGGTTCTTCTCCATTTCAGTCAATTTGATGTAGTGCTGGAAAAACAAAAAAGGTGTAAAGAAAAGCATAGTATTTCAAAAATGGAAGTTTCAAGCAGTAAAAGAAATACCTGAACAAGTCCATGTAGAGTCAATTTGGCCTCATCATCAACATAAATTTCCATAGGCTGAAAAGAATAAATGTCATAGTAAACCATATTAGGAGCTTCATGAAGCTTAGAGAGTGAGCAGGAAATGATCGACTGTAACATCCCAGTAATCAAGGTCCCATTCCAACAGTGAAATCACGCCTGGCATGCCTGGCAGAGACTTCATAGAAGCACTAACTAATGTCTTCCTTGCTGATATGTTACCACACCACCAACAGGCCTCGGACAAGTGTTCCTCGGCAAATTAACTCAAAAGCATCGCCAACAAACTTCAACATGAAATGAAAAATGGGAAAAGGGTATTGGGGAAAAGATGAAAAGGGACACAGATTTGGATCCCACTTCAGCTGGTAGATACTAACTAAAGAAAACTATAATAGAGCATTTCCCTAAGTAATAAGCCACATCCAGCAAGTGAAGACTTGAATTAAGGGTGATAAAATTGACCCATTCCAAGAAGCAAAGAGCTGAAATATGGAAAAACAGTAGACTTTGCCATGAGACATTACATCTGTCATAAACTTTTTGCACACTGGGCGGATCTCCTTGCTTAAAGTTGCTGAGAACATCATAACCTGCTTATCATGAGGAGTCATCTTGAAAATTTCCTGGACATCTCTCCTCATGTCTGCAAAAGGATTTTACCAAAAAAATTAGTAAAAAAGCTACTCTATATTTTAGATAGGCTCTAATATAGAATGTAGGAAATGAAAGATCTACCAAGTGATTCAAGCATCTTGTCACATTCATCCAGTATAAAATGCCTCACGTTTCTCAAGGAAAGGTCCTTATCTCTTGCTAAAGCAAGAATCCTTCCTGGTGTACCAACCACTATGTGAGGGCATTCATTCTTCAGAAGATCCTTGTGAACTTTAATATGGACACCTCCATAAAAAACAGCCACCTTGATATCAGGCAAATATGTGCTGAACCTCTCAAATTCGTGACAGATCTGGAGAAACATCAGAGCACATGAGTTATATAGGAAAATGAAGAGCACTTTTCTAAACAAAATTGTGTAAGTAATGCATGCCTGGTATGCTAACTCCCTTGTATGGCAAAGAACAAGGGCAGCAACTTGACCGGATATAGGTTCAATCTGTTGCAGAGTTGAGAGGACAAAAACAGCAGTCTTCCCCATCCCAGATTTTGCTTGGCAAATTACATCCATACCCAAAATAGCTTGTGGAATGCATTCATGTTGCACTGATGAACCATATAGATTGGATCGAAGGAGGAAGGGTATCTCAGTTTCAGTTAAAAAAAGTTTACCATTGTAGTTCTCCAAAATTGTACTGATAATGACTATTTACCTGAAAAACATAAAGGTTGAAGCATTGAGCAAGAATTCAAATATTGCAGATATAAATTATGGACAAATATTTGTCAACTGCATGCACACAGGAAAGGCATATCAACAGAACATTGTTTCACATTCTGAATACAAATAGAGACATTAAAAAAAACTATAAGCCAATTATATAAGAGTATTATTATGAAATACAGCATCAAATGAACAGCCAGATTTCAAAAAATAATGCTACCCTAAAAAGGAAAAATAATACATAATAAAATAATAAAAACACAAACACGACCAAAAGCACACCATATCACTACAACATCAAACTACATACCTCCTCTGTTCTAAAGTAGTTGCAACAATAAAACTTCCATGCTTGCCGGTGCACAAATTAAACTAAAGCTTTCAATAAATTATATACTATTAAAATATATATATCAAGAAAAATTAAACCAAATCCCACATGAATATATTTTCACATAAGTATACATTTTAAATGATAGATAACTGGTATTGTGATTAGTGAATAATAAATGACATTTTAGTTTGTTTTAGAAAGGAGAGCATATACACTAGCAAGTTGGGATGAGAAAATTGGTCTTTAAGGTGATGAAAAGAACATACTCTCAATTCTTACAACAAATCAAAACAACCACACACAGAGGCATGAAACCATACTTAATAAAAAGCACCTACATAAATTAATTACTATCCAACTAATTATGTGTTCTAAGTCTATGATCAGATGGCACAAAAAAAGATAAATATGATGCACCATAATTGCTAGAGGGGGGTAGATAAAGGGGCAATACGGGCATGTTTGGTTTTTGGCATTTAGGAAGGCTTTTGGCTGTTTTGACCAACTTTAGCAGATTTGACTGGTCAAACAGCCAAAAAGAGTGTTTGGTAGTTGGCTGAAAGGGTTGCCAGTTTGAGTCCGAATAGCCAAATTTTAAAAAACTGCAGGGAGTATCATTTCGGTTTGGTTGTTGGAAAATGATTTTTTATTACTTGTTATTGTATGTAATTTTTATGAATAAATTAAATATTAATTATTTCTTGCATAATTAAATAAAAAATTGATAAATAAATATATAAATAAAAATTGATAAATAAATAAACAAATCAATCAATAACTATATAAATAAATAAGTAAATAATATATAAATAAGTAAATAGTAAATAAATAAAAACTCCTTCCCAATGTGATATTCATGAAGCAATTTGCGAGAAAAAAAATATTTTTCCGATTTTTTTTTTGAGATTTTGGTGTAGAAACAAGATATGATACTCTGTATAGTTATAATATTCTATCAATTGATCAATAAAAACACATAAATAAATAAAATAATAATGACTTTAGAACGATATATAGCTTAAGATTTTATGAGGAAAGAAAGGGTATGTATTGCAAAGCATGTTATACCATATAATTATATAGGTGAAAATTTCATTAAATTAAATTAAATTTAAAAAATCTATTTTGAAGAAGTTAAGTTTGCCAAACATTTTTTATCAACGGCCAATATAATTGATTAGTCAAAGCAGCCAAATCAACCAACTGTTCAAACCAATCAACACAAACAGCTAACACCTAACAGCTAAATTCCAAACAAGGCCTACATCTCCCACTCAAAAGTAGAAGATAAATGAACACTCAAAATACTATTGTCAAGAAGATCCATATGATAGGTGACTTGCCTTCGGATGGATGCTCAAACCCAGAATCCACAATAGCACGCAGCAGCTCTGGCTTGAGAAGAAAGTCTCTGAAACCCGAACTGTGGATTGAATGATATCCCCTGATAATTTAAAAAATATAAATTGTCAGTTCTATTTCCAGTTAGAGATACACACCATCTAAAAACACATATTGTATGAAGGTATGGTGACATGTACTAAACAACATGTAAGAAGATGTAATCTTAAAATCAACTACACATGAACTTTCAACTTTCAAGCATCTACAGCTTATCAATATCAGAGAAACAAGACAAACGATTCCAATTAATGAGCGTAACATGTATAAATTTCAATTGATAACCAAAAAGAGTTAATAGATCTAAGATCACAAATAAACTAATTGGTCAATTAACTTTGAATGAAGAGCTCCAATTAATAAATTAGTACCAATGGAGAGACAAAAAAAAACTAAAGAAGCTCACTTTTTGACGGCCTCGCCGTTGACTTTAGCCGCGACGGATTCAGGGGCTCTTTCGTCTTCTTCGTCGTAGTCAAGGAGATCTTCCTCGTAAGCTTCAGTCTCCTTGGCATCTCCCATTTTTTTCTACTTCTTCTACAGAGATCGGAGCAAACAAAACAATCAGACACAGATCTTCGAAAAAACACTCGTTCCAGATTTTAAAGCAGATCGTGAAAACCATCTAGAACCCATCTTAAGCATAAAAGATGAGATTTTTTTCGTTTACCTCGCTGAATCTGGATGAGAACGAGCTTCGAAAGGGAGATTCCGGTTAGGGTTTGATGTCTGCAGAGAAAAGGTTAGGCTAATCGAGAAAAGGCGGAAATTTAAAGAGATAGAGAGAGAGAGAGAGAAGGGGGGAGGGTAGATTGGGATAGGGTTTTTTTTTTCAGTGGAATGGGAGGTTTTAAAAGGGGGAGATGGTGGAAGTAAATTTACCCTTTTGTCCTTGATGAAATGATGCACTTATCAAGCCCAACAAAGGCAACAAGTTGAAAGTCCGAACTAAAATCCAGAGTCATCGGTTGGCCCAATTGGCTAATTATTTACTTTTTGTTTTAACTTTTAAGCTTTTACAAATTTTATTTAGACAAAGAAATAAATTTATATTAGTATTTGTAAAGCTCATGAATGACGCAATAGATTTTGTGGTAAAAATAAAAAATTGTAATTTGAATTTTAAATTCGAATTTGATTGGTTCAAATTTAATGTTTGGTGATTTTAAAAAAATAGATTTTGATTTGAGAAAAAACCCTTCTAATTTATAACAAAACTAAATTTAAAATCTACATATTTATTCTTATCATTTAAAATTCAAGATTTTGCATGTTTCTTATATTTTGCTTATTGAATCTTCATCTACATCTATTTTTTTACGATCAAATTTTTTATACTCATTTATACACTAATAATATTAACATGCATTCTTTCTCTACTCATTAAACTTTCAATCATGTTGCTTCTACATTAACGATTGTACTGCATTTCGTACATCAGATGTTTACACCGTCATTTGATGTTTTACACTCATACAAAATGTATTTACGATCAAAGAATTTTGTACCAACATTTTATACCAAGGTGATCTATCGAAATGACGTTACAAACAATATACAAATTGTGATAATCTAGATATTTTTTGATCTAGATATTTTTTGTTAATTCACACAAGGATTGTGTGATTGACATACACTCATTTATAATTTGGGTAAACTTTTTGATGTACCCCTATCATTTTTTATTGAAAATAAGTTTAAAAAACGTTAAAATACAAAACTTGAATTATTCAATGTCTTACAAAATACTCCACAAACTTTTACTACATTCATGAAATCATGTTCTAATGAATTATGGAGTAAATTATAACATAATTTATTCAATTAATTAGATACTATTTTCGTCTCCTATAGATTTACGGGACTTGATAAACTTTATTTTGAATTCAATTTATTTCATTACAAGTATAAAATTTAAAATATATCTTGGAGTAATTTATATAGTAAAAAGTATATATGAAAAATTCTACAAAATAATAGATAACAAAACTAAATTATTTTGAGTAGTGAAAAAAAGTAAACGTAGTGAGTTAACTTAGACTTTGTGAAAAAAATCTTATAAAATCTATATATGGAGGACATAAGACAAAAAAAATTACTTCGTGGTACCCTCAATTTTTCTGGAATAAACTTCGGAGTACCCTCATTTTTTAGTAAGATTTTTCATTTCACATATTATCTAAAATACTCCCTCCGTCCTATATCTTTCTTCCCGTTGCACAAAACGAAAAAAAATCCCAAGTTTTTTCAATCTATTTTATTTAAATATTGGTATAGAAATAAAAAATAAGACATACATATTTAAAAACTACATCAAAAGTTCAACAAAACAAGTGGTGACAAGAATATTTTATTTTATCATATAGGCCATGAAAAAACACAAATAAATATAAATTCCTGTGAAGTTGGAATAGTGCTCTGGGAAGAAAGTTTTAGGACGGAGGGAGTATACATTAGTCTCCTTAAAATTTGTGATATTATACTTCGAGGGTACATTTTTTCTCAATTTAGGCATGAGATTAAAAGTTTTTTTTACTTTGAAAAAATGAAGAAGTTTATTTAAATTTAATAAAATAATGATTATCGATGTGAAATTCAGTACTCGTCAAAGTAACAATATTTTCAATCATAACGGCTAAATAGACAAAATATACTCTCGTAACACATTATCACGGATTTTAAGGACCTCCTGAGTACATTTTGTGTAATATGAGACATGAGAATTCTTACCAGATATGGAGGGTATCCAAAATATATTTAAATAATGTGGGAACTGAGATCTATTACTATAAAATAAGAGAACCCCCAAAGTAATGTTTTGGATTGAAAGAGTATCATATGTCTTACCTCTAACATTAACTTATTGTGTATTTGTTTACTCATTTTCGGTGACCATTTGATAAAATAAAATATTTTTGTTGCATCTTATTTCATAAAGTTTTTGATGCACGTTTGAGCAATATAATTTGTACTTTTTGTTTCTCTGCAAATTTGTAAATAAAATAATTTTAGAAGAGATAATATTTTACATATTGCTCTAAATGTGGTAAATATTTTGAAATGGAAGGAGTATTAGGTTAAACAAAGTAAAACCACATACTACAAGTTTTTCGAATATATAGATACTACTCCCTTTGTCCCACAAAATCATTTTCTTTTCATTTTTCATCTATCCCAAAAACTCTTATGTTTTCATTTAAAAAGTCATTTTTACCTCTATTAATTCTTAACCTATCTATCATATCACATTTTTTCTCTATTAATCTACACATCACATCCTACTTTATCCATCATATCAAAGGGTATTTTTTGAAATTTAACACAAAAATACACTCATCTTAAATCTTTTAAAAGTCAAAATAAGAAGTTTTTTGCAGGACAGAGGGAGTACGACATAATAGAATCAATAACATAAAAATAACATACAAAATATCTCTTCTGTCCCAAATTAATTTGTTTTATGTCTTTTTTTTTTTATTTTCAAGTTAATCTTATTTTTTTGGAAATTTTTTTGTAGCTCACTTCTTTTTGTAGCTCACTTCATTAATTTGTGAGGAAGGAAATAATCCTTAAATAATTAAATTTCTTTGAAGGCATACTTCTTAAGAGCATTAACAATGGTAAGACAAAAATGATATGTCACACGGTGACATGGATTATTTCAACCAATAAAAAGTAACCCAGTCACCGCGTGGCAAATGAGTGGAGTGTCGTAACATACAGTGGCAAGTCGTTGTTTTCGTCTATTTTTACACTTTTTAATGATTTTTAATTATAAAAAATTATTTTAAAAATTTATTTTATTATTAAAATATGTTTACTTCTTTTAAAAAATATTTTTTTCAAAAATTACAAATATTAAAAATATTAAAAAAAATAAAAAATGAGAGAGTCACACCTTGCACATGGAATGAAAAATGTGATGGAAAGACCATGGAATGTCATGATTTGAATGGAATTTGCTGACATGGCATGACATGGCATTGCCTTAGAGCACTGGTAATGGGCATAACGCCCGAGGCGTTATTACCGCTTTTAATGCCAAAGGGGCAGCAAACACCGCCCCCCTGGGGCTTCCAAGGGGTTTCATCCTCTATGCTTCAAACGTTTAACGGGCTTCATTCATTAAAAAACAACAAAAAATTACATAAATGCCATAAGACAAAATATTTTTTTTACTCTTCATATTCTTTCTCTTTAAAAAAATAAAACAAACACAAACATAATTTTTTACTCTATATTTTATTGTTTAATATAATGTTTTTTAAAAAAAATTTCTTTCGTAATGTAATTTTTTTGTTGTTTTTTAAATTTAACATACTTTTTTATTGACTGTATTTTTTAATTAATGTATTATTTCAATTTGCAATATGTTACTACAACCCCGTCACCCCGATTTGAATGAAGATATTTTTAGTCGCTCGAATAATCAGTAATTTCTTCATAAAGTAATATAATTATTTATATATTTGTTTTCATTACTCAAATATTATTTGGTTAATTTACCTTTTATTGATTTTTTTATTTAATAATTTATTTTCATTTAAATTCAATTAATATGATAAAATGTTATTAATTTAATTTTAGAAGATGTATATTTAAAAATATAAAAAATAGAGATTTGAAGCCCCAGATTGAAATTTTAGTGTAAGTTACCAGTGCTCTTACAATTATGCTCTAAATGCGGCCGTAAAAAGATTCAAAGGAGAGTAAAAAATCATTCAAAGTGCCCGGGACTGTAACTTTTATCAAATTTAAAAACAGAGAAGAAGTGGACACGCGTCATTCGAAGTCACCGTCGATCGTACAATGTGAATTTATTTGTGTTTAAATAAACAAACTTCTTCAGTTCTTCTCCTTCGTCCATCCGTTCATCGCCTCCCGTCCTCCGCCGCCGTCGAAATGGGGAAAGGCGCCGCCCTCTCCGACGGCGTGGCGAAGAAGATAGTCCTCTCCTACGCCTACGTCCTCCTCTGGATCTTCCTCTCCTTCACCGTCATTGTCTACAACAAGTTCATCCTCGACCGGAAGCTCTACGACTGGCCCTTCCCCATCTCCCTCACCATGCTCCACATGGCCTTCTGCTCCTCCCTCGCCTTCCTCCTCGTCCGCGTCGCCCGCGTCGTCGACCTCCCCGCCGCCCCCCTCTCCCGCCGCGTCTACCTCACCTCCGTCCTCCCCATCGGCGCCCTCTACGCCCTCTCCCTCTGCTCCTCCAACTCCGCCTACATCTACCTCTCCGTCTCCTTCATCCAGATGCTCAAGGCCCTCATGCCCGTCGCCGTCTACGCCATCGGAATCCTCTTCAACAAGGATCCCTACCGGCCCTCCACCATGGCCAACATGCTCTCCATCTCCATCGGCGTCGCAATCGCCGCCTACGGCGAGGCCAAGTTCGATTCCCGCGGCGTGTTCCTCCAATTGATGGCGGTGGCGTTCGAGGCGACCAGGCTCGTCCTGATCCAGATCTTGCTCACCTCCAAGGGGATTAACCTAAACCCTATCACCTCCCTGTACTACATCGCCCCCACCTGCTTGATTTTCCTCTCTATCCCCTGGATCTTCGTCGAATTCCCCGTCCTGAGGGCGAAATCGAACCTCCGGTTCGATTTCGCCGTGTTCGGGAGCAATTCCCTCTGCGCGTTCGCTCTGAATCTGGCCGTTTTCCTGCTGGTGGGGAAGACGTCGGCGCTGACGATGAACGTCGCCGGCGTGGTCAAGGACTGGCTCCTGATTGCCTTCTCCTGGTCCGTGATCAAGGACACCGTCACGGCGGTGAATCTGGCCGGATACGGGCTGGCGTTCGTGGGCGTGGCGTACTACAATCACTCCAAATTGCAGGATTTGAAGGCCAGGGAGGCGCAGAAGAAGGCCCAGCAGGGGGACGGCGAGAGACGGATGCCGTTGAGGGAGGGGGAAGTGGCCGGAGACGGCGACGGATTGGGGAAGAAGAAGGGCGACGACGCCCGGGCGTGAATTTGGGAATTCGGTTGGGGATAAACAGGCGACATTAGTGGAAAAGAGCCCATTTCGTGAGCTTGGGTTCTTCTTCCATTAATGGCGAGTTAGGTACTTGAGATGAAAGTTTGTTACTCTGTTTTGGGCACGGAATTAAAGCCACTTTTTGTAGCAATATTTCTTTCTTTTTCTTCTTTTTCTTCAAAAATAGGAGTATATGTGTATTTGGTGTTGTGGACGTATCTCGTTTTTCTATTGTATTGATGAGTGCCGGGCTCAAAATTTATTTTGGCATTTGGTGTTTAATTAAACTATTTCTATACAAAAAAAATGTACCTCATTTTGTACTCTGAAGGCACACACCAATATTTTGTATTAATGTAATGTTAGTGTGATTGTTTATACTGATACAAAATGCCATTGTAATTTTTTTTATTGAACTAGCATTTTTTGATTGTGAACCGTTAAAATAACGAGGTATCCCTATGGAGTACAAGTTGGAGCACAATTTTTAGTATACCCATAGTATGGCTGTTCTGTGTTTGGTCTTTCATCTGATATTCATGGCGGTGTAGCACCAAATCGACTCCAATGTTATTCGTGGTATGATGCATCAAAGGCTCTATCTACAAATTCAAATTGATTTTTGAAAAGTAAAAAAATGTATGAATTTTTTTAGTATTATTGACTTTATAACCATTAAAATACTCCATTTGTTTATACTTTTTTGAATAATGACACACACTAAGTCAATGTATTCACCGAGAATCAAACTTAGCGAAAGTTCTCACAAGATCTCGGAGAGAGGTCATCCTACTACTCAAGCCAAGTGTATAATTTAAAATCTATTTAAAAAGAAATTATGTTATTCTTACACTCTCCCCTCTCATATACAATATTTTTTCTCACTTCGCTTTTTCATTCGTTTAAAATAATTTTCCCACTTTTTTCTTCTTTTTGTTCTTAGAAAAATAATCCAAACTGATGTTCTCTTGTAAATAAATTCTAACAGCTCACTTTAATTAATCAAAAGCTTTTCGTCTTTTTTCTAAATCTCTGAGAAGTTAGAGTGAGCAAATTAGTATCAAGATTATTCATTTGTATATTAGAAAAGTAAAAAGAAAGTGCAAATATTTAACTCTCATAACTATCCCATATTTTTTTTTCCGGTAGCCACATGATTTCTCTCCTATAAATACAAATTTCAACCATACTTTTTAACATTTCTTAATTTTTTTCAAAATTAAACCAAGAAATTTGCACGTGAAGAAAAAATTGAACTAATGAGAATGGAGCAAATTTTGGGCAAGGTGACACAATTTGGGGATGGAATATGAGGTTGGGTCATGAGGTTTGCCACTCGCAATCCGCTCCCCTTATAGGAGCTGTTAGAGCGCGTCGTAAATGTTGGTTCCATGGTGTTGGCTAATATTTTGGCAAAATAAAATCACATATTTGTTAGGTATTGTACTAGGTAGAAACCTCTATTTGTTAGGAGAGGTTTAATTTATTTAGACTTCTAGAGTTGCTGCAGTTTTCGAGGTTGACACAGAAGATGTTACAGCACGATGCTGCAACACCTTGTTCGGGATCAGAGGTCTGAGCACGGGATTTTAAGCTGCAATCTGGATTAGAGACCTATTGGGATTGTGATTACATGATAATAACTCCAGCTGTACATGCTAAGGAATCCCAACTCTTTAGGTTATTTGTGGATCAAGACTAATGAAGTAGAATTCAAGCCAACTTCTACTATCCTATTCCTACTAGGATTGTGTTAAGAGGAGCCTATAAAACGCAGCAGGTCCCTGGGAATTACTGGGAGCGATTGAGAGGGAAAACAAAGAATATACGCTGATGTAGAGCGTTCCCGTCGCGTCTCGGAGCTTCCCTTGCGTGAAGAAGGTTACGATCTACATGAAAGATGAGATCTTCAATGCCAAACAGATCGTGACATCCAGGAGATGAACCAGAGCTTAAGGAGAGGGCTGCCAACACGTTTGTCCTCGTGATCTCGGTGGAGATGTGATAGCCGAAGCGGATCTGAATAGAGTTCGGGTTAGAAATCCTAGATTAGAAGTTTTGTCATAGCAATTCGGAGAAGGGTGTCTCATCATGTTGTTATGTACCGGGGTAACTTGCATCTAGTGATTTAGTGGAGGGCTATTACACGGACGTGAGCCCCGCAGATTAGGAGAGTTTCTCCGAACTGCGTAAACATATCTGGTGTTATTTTTTACGCATTTTACAGTTACAGCATTCTGCCCAGTAGGCGCTGTAACACTCTCTGCGTAATCTGCTTCTGTGTGTGCTTGTGACAAAGAAGTGCTATAGCAGACTGTCCGTCATCTGTTACTGGACAGAGCTGCAGCGTCTTCTCTGCAGCATAGTTGATTGTTTTTTTTCATAGCTTGTGTTTGGTGTTATCCGCTGCGCCCCACGAACTTACAGTAAACGTTTTTTTATGCATTCTTTGTAAGGCTTTGTTTGGGAACAGCGTTTTCGATTAGCGTTAGTGTTTTGGATAAAAATTTAATAGTGCAGATTAATCTTGAAAACGCTAACGCTAGAACCGTCGGATAATCATTTCAAAATGACAACGCTAATCTCTAACGCTGATGCCAAACGAGGCCTAATTGTAGGTCGAGATCATCCCTAGTCGATCCGACCATGGGACTAGAGATTCAGGGACTAAAAACCCAAAATCTCGCTTCCAAGTTATCTGGAGCTCAAGAACTCACCAAGAGGCTTACGTTACCAATGGACCCCTCCAACTTGTATGCATCACCAGAAGTCATTGCAAGAGCACTTGCCCTCTCTGAAATGATGAAACCGGTTCCGGTCCCTCATAAGAATCTCGCGCTTATAGACCACAGAAATCAACTTGATGGCCGAATGGCAATCCTCGCAAACGCGCAAGTTCTTCACAATGCGTATCCGAGCTTCAGGAGGAGTCTTCATAAGTGCAAAAGCAATGGCCAGCTTTTCGCTGTGCCTATTCAAAGCACCCTCCTTGTCTTCCTCATCAATATCAAGCAACACTTCTGATGTTGATGCCACATGCCCAGCCTTCTTGATCTGCTTTCCCATGTCATCCATCATCTTGTAAATCTCTCTGTACTGACTATGGCTTTTATCCCCTGCCACGAATTCGTAGATTTCGTTACCCAGCTCGAGCATCGTGCTTCCTGGGGTCTTTTTCATCCCCTTCTTCACCATTGCCTCCCTGACCACAGTTTTCTTCTCCCATTTCAACATTTTCGCGTAAATATTGGACAGCAGCACGTAATTCGAGTCTTGCATCGGTTCGTGTTCTATCAGCTCTCTGGTTATCGCTTCTCCTAGTTTGAGCTCTCCGTGAGAACGGCAAGCAATGACTATGGTGCGCAAGATGACTGCATTCGGCTCAACAGGCATTCTCTGGACAAATGCTAATGCTTCCTGAACAAGTCCACACCTGCAGAAGAGATCAACCATGCACCCATAGTGTTCTATATTGGGAGCTATGCCGAAATCTTGTGTCATTGAGGTAAAATACTTTCTGCCTTCTTCGACCAAACCGGAGTGGCTACAAGCAGTGAGCAGTCCAATGAAGGCAACTCCATCAGGTGTTATGACCCCATCTCTTCTCATCTCCTCAAACAATGACACTGCCTCAGAACCCCGGCCGTGCATTGCTAAGCCATCAATGACACAAGTCCAAGAAACAATGTTCTTTTCGCCCATACGCGAAAACAAACTCAGGGCCTTATCAATGTCCCCACACTTTGCAAACATGTCGATGAGAGCGTTCCAAAGCTCCACGCTTTTCTGAAGCTTTTCCCTCTCAATGTACTCTTCAAGCCAGTTGCCCAGCCCGAGGGCTCCCAATTCCCGGCAAGCAGACAAGACAGAGACCATTGTGATCTCATCAGGCCTCACCCCTTCCATCTGCATCTTCCTAAACAAGGCTACAGCCTCATTGGACATGCCCCAGCGCGAATACCCACCAATCATTGCGCTCCAACCAACAGAATCCCAGTCAGGCATTTCATCGAACACCTTCCGGCCGTACCCAATCCCACCATTACAGCAACAGTACATGTGAACCATCGTGTTCAAAACATTCCTATCATCATCGAACCCCGTCTTCACCACCAACCCGTGAAAGGTTTCGCCTAGTTTCAATTCCCCAATTCCAGCGCAAGCCTTGAGAACAAAAGGGTAGGTAAACTTGTTAGGCGAAACGCCAAGACCGCACATTTTCTGGTAAAACGTCACTGCTTTGTGCTTGGAACAACGGGTTTGAGCGAAGCCTCTGATCACGGTGTTGAAAAGGAAGGCGTCGAAGCCGCGGGTTTCGGCGTCCGAGTGGAAGATGAAGGTAGAAGCGTGGTTTATGGCGCCGAGGTCGGAGGAAACTGAAGCGAATTTGGTGAGGACGAGATTGTTGGATCGGAGGCCGAGCTTGAGAATGTGGGAGTAGATTTGGGAGAGTTTGGGAAGAGAATTGCAGAGCAGGAGAAGTGCTAAGCAGCTCTGTTCTGCTGCTCGGCCATTGCTTGGAGCTCTGAGTGGTTTTGTTGCAGAGATGATCATCCAGGAAAAGTCGGATTTTTTTAAAAAAAATACTCAGTATTTTATTTTTGAGGATAAGAGATGATCTGATCTGATTCTAATAAGTTTTGATCTGGTCTGATCTGATCTGATCTGATTGGATCTGATCTGATCTGATCTGATTGGATCTGATCTGATCTAATTGGATCTGATCTGATCTGGTCTGATCTGATTAATTATGATTTAATTTAAAATTTCAAATCAATAATTTAATTTGACTTTATAATAACGTTTGAAAATTGTAATGATAATTCATATTATAATATAATCAATATTTTTTATTTAATGATTATTTTTTAATAAAATAAAAATAGTTAATTTATATATTAGAATAATCATTCATATTATAATGTAATAATATTTTTTATTTTATGATAATTTTTTTGTAAAATTAGAATTATACATTAGAATAAATATTTAATTTAGATATACATTAAAAAGTAATTAAATTTAGATAATCAATATATAGAAGAGATAGTATTTTTATTAAAATATTTCATCCTTATAAAAGATCAAAAGTTTAGAAACTCAAAGTACAAGTAGCAATAAAAATATATTTTAAAAGTAGAATTAGAT